GCTGGCCACCAGGACAGTGTCTCGCACCCCTCCCGCACCAGCAAGCTCTCCCCGAAGCTGGCCTGGAGCCTCAGGTCCCGCAGGATGGTCTGGACCTGCTGCAGGGCCAGCCCATCGCTGCCTCAGAGCAGGGGCACCGTTAGCACCACCATCCCCATCTCCATCTCCATCCCACGAGCCGGAGCTGACATCACCCTGCATGCACCCCACTAGTGTAGTGTGGCCCCCCCCCACCCCTATCCTGGGCCAAGGGGACGCACCAAAGCCCAGCACTCACATCTCAATGGCGGACAGGAACTTGGTCTGGAAGATGTTCCTGGTCTGGAGCTTGGGGCAGGGCTTGCCGCAGAACAGGACCTGTTTCTCCACCAGTGCCAGGAGGATGTGGCACACGATCTCGCCCAGGTACATGCCACTGATAAGCTTCTCAAACCTGCCCTGGGCACAGCCCTGGCAGCCTTAGTGGGGCACAGAGCCACCCTCACCGAGCCCCCTCCCTGCCACAAGGCCCTCGCCCACCTCTGCCTGCCAGGGTTGACTGTTTTCTCATCCACCAGACGGTCGAAGTTGGTGAAGATGTCGTCCCGGCAGCCGTTGTCCCCGAAGGCCCCCCACGCCGTGTTGATGCACATGTGGCCCTCCTCGCCCTCCACAGTGCCCACATTCTTCATCTCCTCCATGTACCAGGCATTGGTCCCTGTCCCTGCGGGCCCTACACTGGTGTCACCCCCACCACAGCCCCGGCAGTGCTGCCTGGCACCCAGTAACCAGTCCATGTGGGCTGGTGGTGAGGGGCTGGAAGACCCCCTGAGTGCAGAGGTGTTCCTCACCCACGATGAGGCCAATTTGACATTTGGGGTAATCACAGCCACAGGACATCATGGTTCCCACCATGTCATTAACCAAGGTCACCACATCCAGACCTAAGTGGTGCCAAACCAGAGACAAGGACATGTGTAGCTCCTGGGGCTGTTGCCACCTGGGTGGAGGGTGGCACTAGCAGGACAAGGGGTTGGTCCCAGCCCTTCCCTACATGTTTGCGCTGGGCAGCGTCCCGCAGCAGCTGGACCACGTCCTGCCCCACACAGCCCGAGGCACTGAAGCCTCTGGTCCAGGTCAGCAGCACTGCCTGCAAGAGAGGCAGGAGCAGGGACAGGGCAGCTGCCTGGTACCCACGGAGCCTTCCCATCCCCCTGGGGCCAGGCCCAGCTGGCAGGGGAAGGAGAAGGTGAAGCCAAGCGGTAGGACCCTCTGGCACCCAGACCCGTTCCCTGGGGCTAATGTGCCAGGGAGGAGGCAGCCATGGCCCGAGAACAGAGCTGTCCCACTCACCTTGTTCAGCTGTGTCTGCCTGCAGGTGAAGGGGAAGACAAAGGCCAAGGGCAGGCGCTGCTGGGAGCTGCTGGTGTCAGTCAAGAAGTTGCGCACGCATTGCGCAATGAAGTCAAAGAGCTGCAAAGGCATGGCCAGGGTGAATGGCTGCTGCTCCTTACCCAGCACCCAGGCTGCAGGAGGCATCCTGGAGCTACAGCACTGGCCTGGAGCCCTGCCGAGGCTCCGTGGTGCTGTGCAGACCAGCACCAGCCACCCTCTACCATGGCCTCTTTGTACCGCTTCCCCCTCGCCCTGCTTGATGTCCTCTGGCATGATGAAGATCTCGTATATCACTTTGGGGCTGTGGTTCCCATCACCCAGGAGGGTCACCCTCAGGGTCCGGACGTGGTTCTGGCACAGCTCCACCACCAGCAAGTCACCTTTCTCTACAGAGGAGCAGAGGCGGTGTCAGGCAGAGACCTGGCTCGTGGCAGATGCCTCCCTCCCAGACCAAAATCTGTTCCTCATCCTGTCTCAGGGACAGTCACTCACCCACAGAGGAGGCTCCTGAGAGCCTGAGACCACCGCAGGGGTGAAGGGAGCCAGCTCCTGGCCTCCACCCCTGCACTGGGGACAGTCAGAGGCAGCATAGGGGCATCTTATGGACTCCATAACTGACCAGAGACCATTGCAGCCTTACCCAGCACACCTGGGGCCACTGAGGTGCACAGGGCTGCAGGTAGCAGAGCAGCACATCCCTAGCTGCCTTACCAGTGCCATCAGGCGTGGAGCAGATCTAGGCTGGCAGCATCCGCACGTTGGTTTGTGTGTGTGTCTGGTGGCTCACTGACTTGAGCACAGTCTGCAGCATGAGTCCCTTCACCTCCTGCAGCTTCTCCAGTGGGATGGTGAGTGCCAGCAGGGCTGCTTGTAACTGAGGATGGCACATTAGGACAGCTCTGAAGGGCAGGGGATGCCTCTCGCTGGGCAAGGGGCAGGGATGGATCTTACCGGTGTGCAAGTGGGACCATGATGGCTGACTGAGGACCTGCGTGGAGGGAGGCAGAGTGTCACCTGCTGAGCCCTGGCCCGCAAGGACAGGGCAGACATTGCCCATGCCTGACCCAGCGGGGCTGGGGGAGGCTGTCCCTGGCTCTGCCTCCCACCTCCCCTCTGCGTCTCTGCTCAACAGGGGTGCGGGCTCAACAGCATCATCACTTTGCAGTGTCCTCCCACTGCAACCG